AGGCGGGGCGAGAGGCGTGGTGTAGTGGGATGCGCGGGGCGGGGCCTGGGCTCTGGCGGGCGGAGCTCGGTCTGGCAACTGTCTTCGCAGGCGACACCTGGGCTGCTGACACCCTTCGCTGCCGACCCCATAAGCGTCTTCCCGCTGCCTGCTGGCTGCTAAAGGTGTCCCACTCCTTCCTCACCTCCTGGCCGACAGTGGCCACTAAATCGAGTCCCCTCCCACTTGCCTTGCCTTGGTCTCGGGCAGGCCAGTGGCCACTTCTGGCCCACCCCTTTCCTGACCCCAGCCATCCCTCTGATCCACTCCACCCAAGGATGCCCCAAACTATATGGAAAGCAGCGTTTTAAAAAAACGTTTGAAAACTATAAAGAATGAGTAGTGCCATCAAAACCTTAAAATGTAGGAACCAACTACTTTTTTCTGCCCATCTGGACCATTCGCTCACCTTACTCTCTTGCTACCCCAAATAACTCTCTGGTAAAACATAACCGGTTTACTTCTACCTCCAAGCCTTAATCCATTCTTCTACTTCTATCTTAAAGCCCCTTTCCTCAGCCCCTATGATTGGGGCTCAGGTGGGCTTTCCCAGATATCTTAATCAAAATTAATGTCTCCTGATCTCCCAATGTACAAACTGCTTTGCGCCTGTTATTGCCTTTTTTTTTTTTTTTTTTTGAGTTAGAGTCTCACTCTGTCGCCAGAGTGGGGTGCAGTGGCCGCTCCCGGCCACCACAGCCTCGACCTGCTGGGCTCCGGCGATCCTTCCACCTCAGCCTTCAAAGTATGATTTTTTTATTTATTGTAGAGATGAGGTCTTGCTGCCCAGGCGGGTCTCGAACCCGCAGGCTCAGGCAATCCACTCACCTCAGCCTCCCAAAGGCGCAGGATTACAGGCTGAGCCACCCAGCCCAGCTTGTTATTGCTTTCATCACAGGCTGCCAGGTTTTATCTAATTTGTGTGTTTCTCTTTTTCCACTAAATTATTCAGCACCTACTATGATGGGCTGGGTAGGGCGATAAGAGACTTAGGAAACAGAGGTAATAAGAAAATTGCTAAAGCTAAGGAACAGCATGTGGCTTACTAGAAAACATCTGAATAATACAGGCTCATAGAAAAAAGAAAAAAAAATACAGGCTCACATGGACTTGAGGATTATGAACAGTGCCTTTTGTGTCACAGATGCTCAATAAATGTCTAAATTGGGTGGGACACTAAGATTATTCAGTCGAAATCTTATAAAAATATGAGTTACTCCTATGTACATAGACTGCTAAAGCTAGAAGTCAAAAAAGTAGCTGCTTAAATAAGTAGCTCAGCCGGGCTCGGTGGCTCAGCCTGTTGGGAGGCTGAGGTGAGTGGATTGACTGAGCCCGCGGGTTCGAGACCCGCCTGGGCAGCGAGACCTCATCTCTACAATAAATCAAAAAAAATCAGCCAGGCGTGGTAGCGCATGCCTGTAATTCCAGCTACTCAGAAGGCTGAGGGAGAAGGATCTCCGGAGCCCAGCAGGTCGAGACTGCGGTGGCCGGGAGCAGCCACTGCACTCCAGTCTGGGCGACAGAGTGAGACTCCAACTCAAAAAAAAAAAAAAAAAGTAGCTCACCTTGGATACATTATTTCTAATCCTCACTACAACCTTGTAAAGTATTATTATACAGAATTTGCAAATAAGGAAAGTGGGCTTAGCAAAATTACAAAATGTATCCAGGACCACACAACTAACTTTCAATCTATAGAACTAAAATGTACACATATGGAAAACTAAACCATTACAAGTTAGCGTCATTAACTTAGAATACGAGACCTCATCTCTACAATAAAATCAAAAAATCAGCCGGACGTGGTAGCGCATGCCTGTAATTCCGGCTACTCGGAAGGCTGAGGTGGAAGGATCCCCGGGGCCCAGCAGGTTGAGGCTGCGGTGGCTGGGAGCGGCCACTGCACTCCAGTTTGGGCACCAGAGTGAGACTCCAACTCAAAACAAAAAACAAAAAAAACGTAGAATACTGAAGGAAGGCTAGGTAGGGAAGATGGGACCTGAAATGGACTGTAGCTTATAAACACTTGAAATATTATTTGAACTTTTATGCCTTTTAAAAATGGACTCATGGGGTACACGAGCAGTTTTATTACATAGATGTATTGCCTAGTGGTGAAGTGTGGGCTTCTGGTGTATCCATCACCCGAATAGTGAGTATGGTACCCAGTAGGTAATTTTTCAACCCCCAGCCTCCTCCTACCCTCCTCCCTTTTGCAGTGTCCATTATTCCCCTCTGTATGTCCATGTGTACCCATTGTTTAGCTCCCACTAATGAGAACAAGTGGTATCTGATTTTATTTCTGTTTCATTTCTCTGAGGATAATAACTTCCAGCTCCATCTAGGTTGCTGCAAAACACATCATTTCATTATTTTTTGTGGCTGTGTAGTATTCCATGGTGTACATACAACACATTTTCCATATCTAATCATCTGTCAGTGAACACTTAGGTTGATTCTTTGCTATTTTGAATAGTATTTGAATAAACATACAAGTGCAGGTGTATTTTTAATGTTACTATTTATTTTCCTTTGGATAGCTACCAAGGAGTGGGATTGCTGGGTTGAATGGTAGTTCTATTTTTCCTTATTTGAAAAATCTCCATACTGCTTTTCATAGAGGTTGTACTAATTTACAGTCCCACCAATAGGTGTATAATAAACATTCCCCTTTCTCCACATCCGCACCATCTGTTGTTAGTTCTGACTTTTTAATAATAGCTATTCTGACTGGTGTGAGATGGTATCTCACTGTTCTTTTAATTTGCATTTCTCTGATGATTAGAGACCTTGAGCATGTTTTCATGTGTTTTGGCTGCTTGTATATCTTTTGAGAAATGTCTGTCCTTTGCCCACTTTTCAATGGAGTTGTTTCTTCTTGTTGTTTGGGGTCCTTGCAGATTCTAAATATTAATCCTCTGTTGAATGCATAGTTTGCAAATATTTTCTCCCATTCCATAGGTTGTCTACTTACTCGTTTTTGTTTGTTTGTTTGTTTTGCTATGCAGAAGCTCTTTAACCAAGTACCATTTGTGCATTTTTGGTTTTTGTTGCATTTGCTTTTGAGATCTTAGTCATAAATTATTTGCCTAAGCCAATGCTCAGAACAGTTTTTCCTAGGTTTTCTTCTAGGATTTTCATATGTTCAGTTCTTACAAATAAGTCTTTAATCCATCTTGGGTTAATATTTGTATATGGTGAGAGATAGGGATCCAGTTTCTTCTGCATATGGCTGTCCAATTTTTCCAACATTACTTATTGACTAGGGTGTTCTTTCCTCCATTATCAACTTTGTTGAAGGCAAATTATTTGTAGATGTGCAGCTTTATTTCTGGGCACTATTTGAAATATAATTCAGCTACAGGAATATGCCAAAAATTCAAATTAAAAGTTGCAATATTTCCCTACCAAATTGGCTAACATTTTTTTTAAATACTGCTGAAGAAATAGAGGGAAAAATTCATAGCAAAATATCACTAGTTGTCTAGCTATTGGAATGTCTTTATTATGTTCTTCTGAAATTGCCTAATGGTCTACAATAAGCATGTATTGCTTTTATAATCAGAAAAATAAAATTTTAAATTGCATGGTCTTTAGATGCCATGTGTAACTTCATCCACATACAATATAAAGACAAAGGGGTGGAATAAGAAAGCATTAGAGGACAGGGGAGTGCAAATACACATGAGTTTAAAAGAGAAAAATAATTACCACAAAGAAATGAGGGCATAGACAAAGATTTAGCTAGAAGAATTTTCATTTCTCCATTACAACATTGATTAAAAGCAAAAACGGTCAGGCATGGTGGCTGGCACCTGTAATTCTAGCTACTCAAGAGACTGAGGTGGAATGACTGCCAGAGCCCATGAGTTCAAGACCAGCCTGAGCAATATAGCAAGACTCTCTCTCTCTCTTTAAAAAAAAAAAAAAAGGCAAAAAGGATATAAACTTTAAATGTTTACAAGAGGTATTAGAGGTAGAATGGAATACATGCAACCATGTTGTATCTTTTTTGAATACAATGTTTATTTCAAATGTTTCAAGTATCAAGACAGTATATACTGTATGATTCTATTTTGAATTTTTATTTACTATATGCAAAGAAAGGGTCTGCAAAACTGCTCCAAAGTGTTCACAGTGGTTGACTCTGGGCGGATAGAATTTGGAGGTTTTGTTTTTTGCTTGCTTTCATTTTCCAAAGCAAAAAGAATTACTTTATAGGAAGTAAGCTATTTAAAGTTGCTTAAGCCTACCATAGTAATAAATGAAGCTACATATAATTTTAAAAGAGTTTACCACCTTTCAGCTGTGAAAGTTGATCATACAAATTGGGTCATTTTAGTCTATGACCATACCATCCTGAACGCACCCGATCTCATCTGAATTGGGTCATCTTTGTCATACCCAACTATTGTCCAGAGGCCAGGCGGGGAAACGGTGCACAAACATTTCTCCAAGAGCATAATCCTCTACAAGCCTGGCAGCTGAAGCCTAAAACCAATTTTATCTAATGACTACTAAA